TTCTTGGCTACTTAACTTGTTCAGTTGCATCCATTTTTTAGTATAAGATTTCCAGAGGACAGCCGCTGCCAGGAGTCCTTATCCACACAAAACAAATGAATCAGAACTTGAACTCCCAGCTAAACCATTAACACCACTGGTGGATCAGACAGTGGCTGGACAAAAGAATTAAGGTCATTCATAAGAAGCAAGGCATGCATGCTCCCCCCACACACACACTTTTTGCCTATGTATCTTCTAAACCAAGAGCATTGCAGTGAAGATGAGTTACCAGCACAAAACCAGTGGGTGACTACCAGGCATGCATGCATCACAGCAAAAGTGAGATAGAGGAAATGCAGAGTTTGGGGCGGGGGGGCGGTTAAGGAGCATGATTTTGTGCATTCCCTGATTAGAAAATGCATTAAAAATAAATCTTTTGGGGCTCATCTAAGAGAGAAGGAAAGAAAGTTCAAAACTGCACTTATGTGAATCGCAAATTTTAAAACAGATCTAAGATGAATGAGTAGGAATAAAACCTGTTCTGGTGAGCCTTACTCCTCAGGAATTCCCGTTTGCTGGGAAAGAGGCAAACTGTTATCAGGGAAGTCAGTCTATGAAGGGAGAGTAATTTCCCCCAATCAGAGTGTGAAGCATGACATACCCCACTCTTAAATCATTTATATTTTACTTTTTTATGATGCAATCGTGAATTAGCTTTTTCTGCATTTGTAATTAGAGGATAGAACAGATGGTCAGGGCTTAGTTCAGGGTGATAAATCCATTAAGATAACCTACAGAAAGCTGCCACTGCGGCAGTTACTGCCAAATAACTGTTCATTCAATGCTTTGTTCAGAGTACTGGGTGGAAGAACCATCCCATTTCTTCACTGGCTTGAGGTACAAGGGATAAGAAATCACACCCAGGTTTGGGGACTGTATTATCACTGTCTATGTGGCTCAAGAAACTTGGATGGTATGACTGATATAGGGGATGCATGGGACAATCCAGGGAAATAGCCTGGAGTTGTTGCTTCCTAATGTCTGTCCCTTCAGATACACTTCGTCCCAGAGCACTTGTTTACTTTTCAAAGTGGATGAAATTTAGCTGAACAGGTGGCCTGACTGCAGAGTAGAGTTTTCTGTCAAGGAATGACTGCAAAATATCCACTTCGAATTCATGTCTTCACTCATTCTGCAAGAAACTTCTCAAAGCACTGAGAATCCTAAAATTATTTATACTAGACAGGACCTATGGAGGCCATCTGGTCTAATCCAACTTAAAGCATTTTTCACATTGGACCAAACCTGTAGGTCCCTTCCAAATGGAACTATTCTATTCTGTCCTATTCTGTTCAAATTCCATCCTCCTGCTAGTCCACAGATATGACCTATTTTTTTCTAAAAACAGAGGTCAGAATAATTAGGTATCCTATAGTTTATGATTAGCAAAAAGAGATACTAAATCCTAAAGCAAACGTGGCAAAAACTTTTGTGCTCATTATTTCTGATGATGTCTTTGACCTGAATCACATCAGGCTACTCCACAAATGAATCTCAGCAGAATCCATGGGTGAGCTTTGGCGACGTTCAGATCTGTGTTCGGTCTCTCTGTGCCTCTGGAAACCAGCAATATCCTTTTCCGAGATGCTTTGGCACTTCCACTACGAATAATTTTTGCTGAAATCCCTCTCCACCATTGGAATTCAGCACCAGAGCATTACCACGTATCTTTGGAAAGCATTTCCTTGTGGAAACAATATCTCCATACACCAGGAGCTCAGAGTTTCATCACGTCTCAGCAGATAGAAACTAGCTGGAGAGTTGTATCAAGTCTGTTAGATGAATGGGAAGACTCTGCTGAGGAAGGATGTGGAGTTCCTGCAATCACCCCCTATGAAACCAGTGAGGATTTCTGTGGGCAAAATGGAACTTGCCACAGATACAACCTACCCACTGAAGTGCTCATGCCAGTCCCCTTTTCTTCATTTTCCAGGGGCCTGGGCAAGCAGTACCACTACATGTGACAGGTCCAAACCAAATTTTTGTATGCTGAGCTCCCATATGTTTAAACAGGAACATCCCATAGGAGGGGACATACATTATGTATGACAAAATGAGCAGAGGAAAACTGATCGCATACAAATGCATATAAAATAAAAATACCACTATTTCAGTGTTTTCTTCCATATGCAGTAATGTCGAGGGGCTTTATTAACAAAAGCTGCTTAACCAGAGGTTTGAATTTGAACAGGGTTCATTTGATTTCTGCACCTCACTGCTTCCTGGCTGACTGCTCAGTATCTGCCAGCGTAGGCATTATGTGATGCTCTGCTTGTCCCCAAAGCTGTCAGTCAAGACAGAGCCTGGGCTGGGAAATGGTTAGAGCCCGAATAAATATTAGTAGGATAGTCTGGACCGTGACCGCTTCCCTCCTACTCTTGCCTTCACCCACCTACACACATTCTGCTGCTGCCTCAGCGCAAAGTAACGCTACAGGAGGTGCTGAGGAGCTTCTCCCCCATCCACACACATCTAGCAAGACATTGTGCTTTTGATGAGTGACCCTTCCCTGGATGCAGCTTGTGTATGTGCTGGGGTCAGGTGACATTTTTAACAATAAACCTGCTGAATTACAATTCAGGGAGAATTTACTTGAAAATTTACATAATGTAGCTAGGGGAGACTTTTAACTGCTTCCCCTTGTGCATAAGGGAAAAAAAAAGGAGGAAAAGTAAGTAACAGCCTAATTGGCTTTTATAACAGTCTATGGGGAGAAATGCAGGCCGGTTCTCTGCCTAGCTACGAAGCTTGGTATGTGCTGTAACCATGGCAGGCAATATTACAGGCATGACAGGACAATGATTTGGTTTTTCAGCACTGAAGATCTGAAAAATTAAATGCCTCCAGCCGGGGGGGTTGTTTTACGCTTGAGGAGGACCTGTCTTGCCGGTTCAGAAAACTGCAGGTCAGGCTTCTGTTGGAGGGAAAAACGGAGGATCTGATCTGCCGGTGCACCACCACAAATGTGGATTGTGGCCGCTGGGATGAGCAGGATCTGCCTCTTCCACCACCATGCGCATTTTAATCAAGGAGCAGCTTGCAATAAAATGGATAATAGAGAGGATGTCAAGGCTAGCGCTGGCGAGCCTAATGCTTTGTGCTCCTTCTCCTCCCACTGCTTCCCTCAGTGCATGGCCCAGGCACCCGCTCCCCTCCTCCAGAGCCCAAGAAAGGTGGCACAGCAACAGACCTGTGTTGGTTCAGTTCCCACTGCCTTGAAACTGCTACATTTTGGGACAATACCAGTAAGAGAAAGCTGCAAGGGAGATACTGATGGTTCATTTTTTATTGAATTTTGTCTTTAAAAAAAAGCAGCAGTTTAAATCAATGTCAATTACATTAAAACATGCAAGTTTCAGGACTAATCACTTCTTCTCGCCCTCCTTCATTTCCCAGATACTTCAGGGAGAACCCCACCGAGTACCTGTCCACCTCAGCAGCAAACACTGCCTGAGCCCAAGGCCAGGAATGGGAGGGAAATGCCTCTCTCCCATGGTTGAGCCAGAGACAGTGGCAGTGAGCCCAGGAACAACACCGTTGCCAGCCACCACTTTCCAGCCCTAAGCCATTTGCCAGAACTGGGGGAGTGTCAAATTGGGTCTCTCCTTTACAAAGGCTCCCTACAACGTTCCAATTCCCCACTAAACTGTAGCTAAAAGACTGATAGAAGACGCCATAGGGGCAAGTTAGAAGGGGTTTGGAAAGATCTTTGATCTTCACTTCCCAAAATGGCTGAACATGGAAAAATGTTGTCCTTCTGCCTAGAGCATAAACGCTGTCCTCTGCCCGCACCGAGAGACCCAGTGAAGCCCTCTCCTCCCTGCCCAGCACCACTGCTCTCCTACCATCCTGAATCATGGTCCTGAGGGCTCACAGGCATCACATCCCCAGGATTTTTACTGAGGTACTCTGGCTTCACTCCACTGTGTCTTATTATATAGGACAAAGCCATTAAATCAGCTGTGTGCCCCCCCTCCCCTGCCACCACAGACAGTAAATATGATCACCTACCAGCCTTGCTGCTGTTTGTCTTTTGGTGCACGGCTTTGTAGATCTGAGCAGAGAATTTGATTACAGCCATGGTACCAATCATATGCTGTGTTGGATGTCCTCGGCTGCCATTGAACTCACTGTCTTAAACATGAGGATGGTCCAATAAGGGTGCCTGTATACAGGATTGATCACACAACACTATTTTTTAGCTTTGATTTTAAAAACAGGCTAGAAGAATTAGACTAACGTCATTTTGTATTAAACACCCTTATTAGTTTTGTTATCTGATGCAATCAAAACATCCTCCCACATCGGTTACTAATGATAAACCAATTCCAAATCAGAAATTGAGCTATTGGAAAAAAAGCTGACAACAGCATTAAGGCTTAAGCTGGTAAATTGACCTGTGTTTAGCTCTACCTTTTAAGGACAGGAGGCCAAACTAAAATAGGTGCCCTATTACAGGTGTATTTATAGGCTAAATCAGAGCAGCCGGGACTGCAAATCACACCGTGTAAACAAGCGGCCACTTAGCACATCACCTTCGCAATTACTCGATCAATACAACTAAGAGCACTGCCTGTAACATGCAGGAAGGACACCAAGAGCACTTTTGCATGTAAATGCCAGACCGGTTCTCCTTAAAAACAACCTCTAACGGCTGCAAGCAAATGCCTCGACAGGATTTTGCTCCATTTACGGCTGCAGCGATCGTTCAGTTTTTCAGCCGATCTCTTTGCCTCTCGCGAAGAAGCGACCGAAACTTCCAGCAAATGCTGCATCCGCCTTTATGCGGGTGCTTTACTCATTGCTTTTATAAAGTGCCGTTACGTACGGTGAGCGCGCGAATTAGACGCACAACCCGGCGGGGCGGGGCGGCTCCGGCCCCGCCCCCAGGCCCCCGGCCACGCCCCCGGGCCCCGGGCCACGCCCCCGGTCCCGCCCGCCCCCCCACCCCCCCCCCGGTCCCGGCGACATGGCGGCTCGGCTGCTGCGGGCGCTGCTCGGGAGCCGCCGGTGCCGCCTCTGCTGCCCGCCGGGGAGCTCCGGCCGCCGCACAGGTACCCTCAGCCCGGAGCGGGGGGAGCGGGGAGAAAGGGCTGGAGCCGCCCTGCAAGGGGGGGGCATCCCGCCCCCGGTGCCTTCCAGCCGGCGGGGAAGGGCTAAGTCGGCCTGCTGGCGGTATCTCTCTTGAGCTGGCAGGCTGAACTACAGTTTTTATACTTGAACTGTAATTTTCAAATACCTTCCCCAACTCCCCCCAGTATCACCTTTGCATTGGAAGAGATGAGTCCAGGCAAGTGTTCCTCACTCAGGAGCTGATTTTTTTCCAAGGATCCTATGCTGATGGGAGAAAAGCATGGAGATAGTTCCCCACCTCAGACTTTTTGATTAGGAATAAATAAAAGTATTTTACTTATTGTTTTTCAGCCAATCTATTAATTCCTTGCCAATCCTTTACCACCATAAATGTACTGTATGGTGTGTACGGACTCACAGAAGGTGTTGCTGGAGGTTTGCACCGTGATGGGTGACTTCTGCTCTCCTGTTGTGTGTCCCTCACCTAACTATGGCCCCAGTTTCTCTTGGGCTGTAGGTGTTGCTTTCTTCCAGTGCTCCTTCTTAGCACTGGTTTTCACTGAGGCCTCTGAAAGTTGCTAGTCTTTAATAGCCCATAATGAGCATGAGCTCTGGTTTCTGAGGGTTTCCAAGAGGTGAACTGCCAGACCTTTCAGTGATACCCAGGGATGAGGAGGGAGCCCCAGCAGACCAGCAGTTATCCCAGGCCAGAAGAGAGGGCTGCGCTGGGCGAGTGGAAGGTACCTTGAGTCGTGGGTGCCCATTCCCGTTCAGTTCAGAGCCTTCCCAAGCGGTGTGCTGGAGCTGCTCTCCGTAGGCAGCATACAGAATGGAAAGCAGATGCAAAGTCCTGCACTCCCCCCTGCCTTTATGTCCCTGAACTGCCCTCCTGTGCTCTGGCTGTACCCTCAGAAACTTTGGGAGAATCGAGGTGGTGATGTAAAGCATCAGCAGAGTCTGTGTTTAAATGGTGTTAAAAATAATACAAACTATCTTTTTATATCAAACTGAAGACACCAGCTCTCTGACTAAACAAGCTGAAGCAACTATTGCTACAGACTGGAAAAAAAAATTGACTCCAGAGCAATTCTATGTTACAAGAGAAAAAGGAACTGAACCGGTAAGCAAAAGCGCTAATTCTGTCCAAGGTTAAGCCACCTCCTCTGCCTGCCAGGCACAGAAAACCTGCTTTGGGGAGCTGTCACCACTCACTTGCTTTACAGGTTTTCCCCTGCCTTTCCATGGATGAGAGTTAGACTCAACATACTGAACCGGGTGGATTTTGTTCTGACCCAGACTGGTTTGCAGATGAAAAAACATTCTGCATTCTTTTCTTTTTTTCTTTTTTCTTTTTTCTTTTTTTTTTCCTGGGATACTTTACTGCCAGCTTAGCCATCTGTGTGGCAGTAATGGAGGCCTCTCCAGAGAGGAGGGAGATCATGTTTTTGTCTTGTAGTCTCCTGGTTTTGACCATATGTAGATTAGCCATGAAAGTTTTATACAGAGCGCTCCATTCAGGAGCTGGGGTTATCCCTCATGGGCCAGATCACCCACCCACCTTGTCCCCACACTTTGCCTCCTTCTGAGATGGAGGCCACGTAGCGCTGTGGGTGGAGCGCTGGTGTCCCTACCCAGAGCCAGGGCTTCTGTGCACATGGAGCATGGACTGTGGCATTAAATCATGTGAACTGTGCCCAAATCCTTATCTGTAAAATAAGGATCCCAATTCCAGACTGTGGAGGGAGGAGGAGAGCCCCTTTATAGAGCCACTTTGAAGTTGTGCCACTCCACAGCAGAACCCTGGTCTTTGGGATCCTGCATATTTCACAAGTTCCTTGGAGGTCACGACTCCAGCCCTGGTACCTGGATGATTTATGAATCTGACTGGTCTCGAAGTTTCTGGGGCAGGGGGGAGTCTTCACTATTAATCCAAAGGCATCTTCCCCTTCATTTCTTTAGACTGCTAATGTTTGTTCTTCAAAGCCCCCCTGTGAAGCTCTCTTTTTATGGTTTTTCTCCTGTTTTGAATCTGATTCCTACATGCTTATTCCAGATGGTGAGCTTTAAAGACCTGCATTATTAACTTGTCTTTTTTCCTTCCTTTTTTAAAAGCCATTTAGTGGGATCTATCTGGATAACACTGAATCAGGAATATACTACTGCGTGTGCTGCAATGCCCCACTGTTCAGGTAACATCCTCCAGATTCCACAGCATCCTTAAAATGTCCTAACTGTGACAGGAGGGGCAGTGTCTTTTCACGGGAGCAATGGGAAGTGTAATTCAGAACAATGCTTTGGTACCAGAGTGCTATGTATAAGATTTCCAGGATACCTGTGGTGATACAGATACATAGTATGCCTTTTTCTTGAGCGTATGAGGGTCTCCAGTGGCCGTCAGACACCAGTTGCTATATTAGGGTCTGCGTTTTTCTCCTGACACACACACTGTCCTTTTTCGTTGATAATAATTCTCTGTTTAAGAGGTCCCTAAGCCACAAGCTGCCACAAAATGCATGTATTTATGCGTATCACAGTATGTTTGCTCTGTTCTTGTGTTCTTTCATGGTCATCTTCTGCCACTCATGCTACTGGGCTAGAGAGGCCTTTGGCCTGACTGAGTCTAGCTGTTGTTAATGTTCTTATTGCTGGGTCCCTCACACTGGAACTGAGGCTTCCTCTTCGCCCCCACCCCCTTCTTGTTCCCTAAATTAAATTCCACTATTTTTGCTTTTTTGGTTACATCTACTTTTTAAAACCTGACTGCAAACAACTGTGCTGTTAACCTCTGTGCTTGTTACAATACTATATATTTTGCAACTTAATTAAAGCCTAAGTAAAAGGAAATAGAGTGCCTTAGAGTAGGATGTGCAGAAAGTGTTCTGTTCTCTGTAATGAACCAGAAAGGGCATTTCCTCATATTTTTGATCTAGAAAATAGCCTTTATTTATTCCCAACTGAGCGTTCAATGGGATACAGCTGATATGCCCATTTTTGTGAATACTTTAAAGGATGCATCACAGATCAGAACTTCAGATGGGAAGCTGAGGAACAAGAGATCTGGATAGCAAGAAATAGGGAAAAATGTAATGGCTGCATTACAAATAAACCTAAACTAAGCAACTAAATGGTAAAATTAGAGGCTAATAATTGTGAAGAGTTAGTTTTTCTTTGGCCCACTACAGAAAACTATTGTTATGCAAATGAACATTTGATAAATATATCTTTTTCTGTAGAGGTTTGCTAATAAACACTTTTAAGTAAATTTATTTCAGAAGCTAGTGCAGCATTGCAGAATATTCTGAAGACAGATACAAGACATAAAATACCGCTGGAACATTCAGATAAATGAGAGAAATTTTAAATTACTAAGCTGTGGAAGAGTTCCTTCGATTCCTTCAAATGTTCCATCAATTTAGGCATCCTTTATATTAGACAATAGATATTGAAAGGCCAACATGAAGAGAGATGAGCACTGGAGGGAGTTGCTTCTGCTGCTAAACTAACAACAAAATGACAATATAACCAGTCATGCTGCTTTTTGCAGTATCCAACTCTCAGATAATATAGGTACTTTAGTTTAAAGCATAAAATAATGCTGAGCCTTACAGACTGATACAGGGATATAAAAACAAACAAACAAACTTACAGAAAAAGCCTTTTAAGAAAATAGAAAATTATTAAATGTGCAAAATGGTCTGAAAATATATTTTCCATTAATGCATTATGTTGTGGAGGACACTAACAATGAGGGGGAAAAAAAAGATGGTATTTGATAAGAAATTCATTCATCATGGGTTTTTTTCCTAGTGCATTAAAAATGTCCTTTTTCACATGCATTAGATCATTTGCTACAGGTAAACACAAAGCATTTCCTCCTTTCTTTCAAAGTATATGTGTGTGTATACATTTATACCAGAATTTGTTACCTTCTGTTACCAAATATTAATTTGAAAGAGTTGGAAATACATGGAACAAACCCCTAACCTTTATAGATAGCAAATTGTGGTGCTTTAATGAAATCTCAAACCTTCAGCAAACCATAAACCTACAGCTGAGACCCATACAGCAATAAGCACTTTTTAGAATTATCTGGATTCCATCCAGGATGACTGAAATAGGGATCAAAGTAAATGACATGTGCTGGAGGAATGGTGTGTCGAAGGCTAATCTAATGCATATGTTTAGGGAAAGTCCATTTATCCATAAATTAAGTGGTGAAATACTTCAAAGGACAAATATGATCTTGAACAGCAATATTTTCGGGTACTAAAATGTTTCTATTAGGGAATCTAAGTGATATTACTGTTAGTAAAACCACACAGAGGCCATTTCTGTTGAGAGCTAGTTTAACAGCCCAAAAGATTGATCCTTTAGCAGTGGAAAACATCCACAATAAACTTAAAAATTGTGAGTGGCACATAAGGGACAGAATCAGTCAGGACCAGATGCAAAACCCACACAGCATTAAAGACCTTCCTTGACTCTCCAGGGTTTCAGAGATGATCCTTGTATCTATATATGAATAAGCAGAAGGATCCCTGAGACAAAAAATTAAGAGTTCTGATTGAAATATTTTGAAAATAAAAAAGAAGTATCACAGGTATAGGTCAGTGAAACTCAGAAGTCATGTACGGACATTTGTGTTCCCCCAGGTCATTCTCTGGGACTCTGTGACTGGTAAGCACAGTGTTCATGTGGCTTTGTAGCAGGGAAGGCAGGGAGCCCTCTTTGGCTGGAAAGAAATAGGCCTGGAGCCCAAATACCTTTTCGTACAAATGTGGCCTGCAAACTGAATTTGCTTTGGTACAGCCTGTTTCTGTGCTGTGTCCTATTTCTCCCTAGTTTTATGGAGGGGAGGAGGAGGTAGGGGAGCATTCCTCATGGGTCTTTGTGGATTGATGTAAAGGACTGAGCAACAGCCCGCACAAAAACTAGGCTTTGGTCATTCTGTGTTTTCAAATCCTCTTTTATTTCCACAATTGCATTGCTCAAAGACAGCCCTGTACAGTTAATTATAAAATGCATGCTGAAGCATGCACTGTTCTTTGGGTTGAATTTTTTAAGCCTTTTGCCCAGCTTGTTTGTTTTGTCTTTCTAAAAGGCCCTGCAAGTAAGATTTTCAGATTTTTCTTCACTGTATATACATGATAGATACTAGATATTTTGCTTAGAATTCTGTACTGACAACTGGACTAATCCCCTTGAGCCCAGAAAAGCTGCTGGTGGTGTTGGTGTCTCCATCCACCACTAGATGCCAGTAAGAACACTGGGTTTGTGAAACTGGGATAAAACATGGGAAATCGGGAGGAAAAGGTTGTGGTGGGTCTCCAGACCACTTATCCTAGTAGTACATGAGTCTATCTTCATTTCTCACTCAATCTCACAGTAGGTCACCACCCTTCAGTAGGAGAAAGTACTTATTGCTATCAAAGCGTGCACAACTTTAAATAGGAGGGATTACCTCATTTTTGTATGCTAAATCCCAAAAATATTTTCTGATCGTATTTTCGAATATGCTCTAGGTTTTAATATGCAACTAATCAGGGTTGGTGACCCTGGATGTTAACAGGACACTCTCACAAGTTGACCATCTTCAGTACTGTTTCTGATGGCTGCGATTACCTCTTTGGAAAAGTAGACCTTCGTGCTGTGAGGATTTGTCATTGGTTGACTGATGGTTTGAGCAAGGCTCTTCTTGATTTTCCAAACCAGTTTGATGGCTGAGTGCAAGCCAAAGCCATCATCAGATGGGAGCCTGGCCCAGGGGGCCAACGCAGCCATCTTCCATACTTCTTTCTTCTTATAAACTCCCTTCTCTGAGGTTGTGCTGTATCGGGACAGGCTTTGAACTGCAACTTTGCAGGTGTAATTCAGCTAAACAATGTGCTCAGTTGATGGGAAGACCTTTTTTTAAGCTTCATAAAATGCCAACTTGTCAGTGAAATAGAAATGATGAGGCAAAAGCTCCCGTTGTGGGCTGACTGAAAATTCCCTTTGGAAAAGAGCTTCCAGCACATTTTGATGCCAGTGAGAAAACTTCTACTGTGCCAAGTATTATTAATAGTAGTACAATACAGGGATGAGGAAAGAAGCCAGTGTTCTTATTAAAACCAGAGTTTTTTGTAACATCTCTGTTATTAATTAACAAGAAGATCTGGTTTCCATTATAGCTCAGAAAAGAAGTACGATTCTGGGACTGGATGGCCATCGTTCTCTGAGGCTTATGGTACTTGTGGCAGAGATGAAAGTAATACCAATATAGTGAGACAACAAGATAACTCATTGGGATCAACTAGAACTGAAGTCATCTGCAAACAGGTATGTTTATTTTGGAGGTGATACCCAAATACCCAAATCTTAACAAATAAGTTTGCTTTGTGTCTGTGAATGAATCTCCCTAAATACAGCAGTGGTAATTACAGTATCACTGGAATCATTCTGTCTCAATTCTTGGTATGAAACACAGGTAGAATTTGAAGTATCAAATATAGGCAGTCAGTTCAGGGTGAAGAAAATTATATGACTGGGGAAAGTAGTTGTATACGTATAGACAAAGGCTGGAGTTTAGACAAAATTTTTTCAGAGGACCTCTGGTGAACTGCAGAATGTGACAACAGACAGTAGAAGAGACTGAGATTTAGACCATGCATTTGCCCCATCACAGGAGCAAACTGCTCCTAATTCAGTCCTGCTAAATGATTCCTGAAGCTGTTCTTAAAATATGCAGTGATGGAGACTTCACAGTCTTACTAGGTAATGAGCTGTAACCTTCATGTCTTCCTACTGTTGGTTAGACACTGGGGAAGACACTAATTTTGCTTTGCAGCAGTTGAAGCTTATTACTATTAGCCCTGCAAGGTGGTGGTGGTGCCCCGCATCTTCACAGCTATCTTCAGTGGGTTCTCTTATTTCACAGAAGCCACCTTTCTGTTTTGGGCAACTATTTTGACTCCCTCAATCATCTCTTTTCTAGACCAGAAAGGGTCAGTTCCTTCAACTGTTCCTTTTTATGCAGTGTTTTTTCAGAGTGGTGATTGTCTTGTTGCTCTATTTTGCACACCTTCCAACTGATCCTCTTCATTCTTGAAGTACAGTGCAAAGCTGGGCCTAGCCCTGCAGCTGGGCCTAGCCTGCACCAGAGATTAGAGGCTGTTTAGGTACATCATAGCATTCCTGTCCTTACACCTTTACCTTTCCACAGCCCATGACCTGTACTTGTTTTGGGACCTGCTGTAATAACCTAGGTCCTTTTCTAAAGAACTGCCACTCCTAACCATTTCTTCCCCACCCTAAATCTGCTGTTTATTACTTTTTTTTAAGGTATAAAAGTATAGAATTGAGTTTAATGAATTGCCTCTTGGGTTGTTTTTCTTTGTGTGTATATCTGTTTTTCCAAACTGTTAAGGTTGCTAACGCTGTCCTCCAGTGTACTTTCAGCTCCTTCTAGCATGATTAGGTATTATCTGCAAACGTAACAAGCATTCACTGCAGTCCATTATCACAGTACAGTTCTTGTTTGCAGTTATATCCAGCAATCACCTTTCAAGAAACCCAGCTGAAGAAAACCTTCCAATTTTATAATGAGCCACTGATAGCTATTCTGCATCTAATTTTTTCCCATCAGTAATTTTGGGGAGGAAATCCTCAGCTGACCTGTGAGAAGGACCTACAGTGATGCCTCAACTTGAAATTTTCATTATATATTGAGATAACTTGTTCCATTTATTTCCTGTACTTTCTGGCATTCATACCTTTACACTTCCTCTTCTGGGATCTGCTTGTTTTGGAGCAGATACTTGCCCACTGGCCAGAGGTGATTATTCCAGGATGTATTTCTAGTCTCTCCCCAGACTCCTCCACCCCTACAACTCAACAGTGATTTCATCATGCAAGTTTCTTAATTCAGGATAGCACAGTAGTTATCAGCATAATGTTGGTCCATTGCTGCAATGGTAATAATGGTACATCATTTCTGTTGCAGTGTGATGCCCATCTAGGCCATGTGTTCGATGATGGTCCCATACCTTCTAGGCAAAGGTTTTGTATCAACAGTGTTTCATTAAACTTCAAACCGGGCTCTGGTCAGTGAGAAGTGGATCTCTGTGGGTTACAGAACATCCTTTCACTGTTCATACAACAGGCTTATGAAAAACTCTCTTAATAAACAGAACTCAAATTTTAGTATTTATGCCATTGCAGCTTTGCTTTCCAGCTATTATCAGTGTTGATAAAATACATATTTTTGTGGTAACTCTCTGGCAGTCTGCCTTTTCATGGTTAGTGTGATGTAAGCTTTGATCTATTTATTGTATTTTTTTAATTAAAAAAAAATATGTATGCAATAGTTCACTCATAGCTATCATAATCAAGTGTACTGACACTGCTGAAATTAAGTGCTCTCCTGAACTTGACTTTGACTATGCTGAACAGTAGTTGTGGCACCCAGGAATACAGGTGTACATGGCTGATCATGCCAGAGCTTTTACTTCTTCAAAACCATTGTATTCTTCTGAAGGGAAACAAAAATAACATGAATCTCCAAACAAGGTTTGAGGGGGGGGGGTTCCCCTGATGTGAGAGACTTTTAGCCAAGCCAAGTGACTTTTCCATGAACCCATAAAAGCAAAGTCCTGAAAGAAGGCCTAATTAAAACTATTCCAGGCAACAGAGCCAGGGGAGACACGGAGTCTTTCTTCTTTTAAATCAATTTGATTCTGTGTCCAATAGCAGAGCTGAAGTAAGGTTTGCTCAAAGAACTTCCTCTTACAGAAATAATATGATAATAATGTAACAATCAGTGTAATACCTCCAGACTTCTGTCATCACCTGTGTATTTCAGAATCTGAAAATAAAAATTAATGTGAAATTTACTGTATTTGGAGGAAAAAAAAATCATCATCAAAAAACACGTTCAGTTTTTTGTGAAGTGATGCTTTTGTTAAAAACGTACCTTGTCTGTTCTTCTTTGTACAAGTTTGTAAATATTTCTGTATTCTCCCAAGCATTATCACCATGGTTTGCTGTAACAGGAAAATAAATGGTATGGTTGTTAAATTGAGCTTTCCTGCTTTCAGATTTTTTTCCAGAGAAAATAATCTCTGAGTCAGAACATCAGCTTCACTAAACTGGCTAGGTTTAAATGCTTCCCTGCTGAGAGTTACTAGGCAACATCTCATTTGGCTTTACCTACAACAGGCTGTTTCCATTCTCCCCACTTCGGTTGCCTCAGTCATAAAAAGGGTGTGTTCATTTACTAGTGTAGTCTTAAAACTGTTTAATATCTTCAGAAAACGGACCTCTACTGCACTGAGTTTACTTTGCTCCTTCCATCTTGCAGCTCTGCAGTTTTTCATTCTTCTGTACTTTCTACAGGGGAACTCTACAATTTCGTAACTTTTAAAAACATCATACAAAGACAACGATCACTGCAGCCAACCTAAACTGGAATGCCACAAAGGCTACCAGAGGTGTCAAGCAGCATAAATGAAGCAGATGCTTGTTGCTACTGGTTTATGTAGTGTCATAGATGGTGACGGTCACATTGTCATCAGAGGTGTCTGTTAACGGCAACAGCGTGCTGCTGTGTCTGTGGTGCATCATGCTCTGCCACACAAAGATGCCCTTCCATCACCTCCTGCTATCCCTGCCTGCTCTGACATGGATGTACGTGCCCAGCCTGCTCAGGTCTCTTCTCCCAAGAGTCTTCACTGGTTGTACAGAAATCACTGTCCTCACACACTCTGAATTAATGTACCCACCTATCCTGATACACTTTAATTCACTGGATGGTGGTGTTTTTTTCCTTAAAATCTATTGCGTAGCTACTAGAAAGGGGGCTTGGCCCTTACAGGCATTCTTTAGTCAGGCAGCTCTCTCCCCTCTCTTCACCTTTCCCACCAGGAGAGGGTTGTCTCAGAAAGGAGTGTGACTAGGAGGTGTCCCCAGCTGGGCTCCTGTGTTCAGCCAAGTACTGGTGCAGAAGCCAGCACCTGCCTGAGTACAGTGACTTTTGGCTGGGATGCCAAATTGAAATGCTCCTCACTTCTGCAAATGGCAGAAAGTAGGAAGAGAACCGGCAAAATTCCTGTTTCTTGCCTGTCCCCACAGATACCAGATCTCACTGACACCTATGGATGAGACTGAAAGCCATACAAACCAAAATGACCATTGAGCTGACAAAACAAGTGTCCACACACAGATTTCTGTGCAAACCACGCTTGGATGTACGTGGTTGGTAGAAAGCAACTCTTAGTGAACGGGCAAGTGAGTAACTATTACTGAGAGAGGAAGCTTGCCTGATCAGAGAGGGCATTTATTTTACACCTATAAACAATATTGTATGCAGCTGGACATTTGGGCTAAGCAGCAGCTGGTGCCTCATCACTCATACAGCAGGATGACCTGAGGAGAGTCCTGTAAGGCCCCAATTTAGCTTGTGCAGTGTTAACTACAGATAAGTAATCATATGAACAGACCCATATCTTCAAGGACAGCACCTGACCTGCACTACACTGATATGTCACCAAGCAAACAGCATAAAGCACAACTCTGCTGCCCCAGAGAAGCCAGATACTGAGCTAAGCTACCTTGTTCTGCTTATTCAAATGAAAATGGGGAAAAGGGGAAGGTTTGGCTTTCACCACATGTATAAAATCAGAGTAATAACACATCACCTTTCAGTGTATCCCACAGTGTGGAGTAGCTACTGAGAAGTATTTGAATATCCTGCTCCTTATACTTCACTGTAAATCTAAAAGTGTTTAGACATCTGTATGTACTCATGTGTATATATCAGTAGGGGAACAGGGGAAATAATTTTGCTTTGCAAGCATGGCCAGTAACCAATTTGGAATAAAACCCCAAATCAACAGAAGCCTTCTTGTCACTCCCAGCCCTCCCCACTGCAGGCAGTTTGCACCTCTTCTGTTAAAACACAGCCACAGGAATGATTCAGGATTGAGCAGAGGAAAAGGGAGGGGGGCAGGTGAGGGAGGAATGAGTGGAGGAAATAGGTATGAACTTCTTGAATTAGCTCTTTTGATGCTTTTTTTTTTTTGGTAATGTCTGGCTTGCTGTCTCTTACATTCTCTGCTGTATCAGATAGCAGCTGGAACTGGCTGCACAGCTATCTCAAGTAGCATGGTGGGGATAAGGCAGAGGTTTCTTAACTGATCCACCTTCTTACTACATTATCACTTCTGAAAAATCATATGGATCAAATGGGTTACTGCTCAGTAGTCCTTTATAAAATGGCCTATTTGACAGCCTTGTTTTCTATTGTTTGTCTTACAGTGCAAGATGGGGCAGAAGGGCCATGTTCATTTGGGTACAAGTTAATTATCTCTTGAGCTGAGCATTACTATTCTTAGGTTAACAATTAATTTGAGGATGTGCCAGGACCTTCATGTATAAAACTACAAGGTGTCTGTGTCTTTGATTTTACAATTCTCTCTGCTGGCTTTTTATTCTCTATATATCATCTCAAACTTCTATTTTTCACTTTTAAGATCTATCACAGCTTGGTGCCACCTTGTGTTTTGTCTCAGACTTGCTAATAGTACTGACCTGTGCTCTGTAAGTACTGTCTGACATTGTAAATTTAAGGTCAAGTTTTCTTCCAATATGTTTGCAATTTATCCTGGGCTGCCAAAACTGAGAAGGAGATCCATCTAAGACTCTGCAAGGCCACTTAGTTACCCTACCTCTTCCTCGCTTCCTCCCTGAAATTCTCATCTCTCAGTATGCACATAGAGCATATCTAAGCAACTGGTGTACTCTGACAGTTACACCAGCCATAATGATGCCACTGTTATCTTGTGCTTCATGCATCTTCAGGGGAAATCCATGTGACATTTCTCATCATGTATTTGAGCTTACCTCCCATGATGATGTGTTTACACAAACTAATTTTATGTCTATAAACACAGCTGTGGGCACTGGTGGTGTCATCCCCATGTGTTGTAAACTGCTGGACATTCAGGATCTCTGACCATCTCTGACCTTTGGTGCAGGGAACTTCATTATCTTCTGAGTCTGTGGTACCAACCACACCAGGACAGATCCCAGCTAAAGGACCAAAAAGATCATGAATATTAAAGATCAATAATAACGGAAGACACTATTAAAGAATATCATAGGCTACAAGAATTTCCTTGTGTATCTGACTTTGTTCCACCATAGCAAACAAAGAGCAGTTGCTTCTCTGAGCTGAATATATTCTGCCAGGCAACTGCAGATTTATGTTCCATCCTTCACATCTAGAAGTTTTTCAACATTGTTATTTCATTAATTAGTTTCAGTGATGATACTTTTTATACCACCGTATGTTTAAATAACCTTTTTATAAATCCTAATCAAGGTTTCTACATAATTCTTAAGAGATTTTAACATTTTAAATAAACTATTTAAAGACTTTCTTTGTCTTTGCAGCATCTCTACAGGGCAAGTAATTATTCTCAATTTTACTGAACGAAGACTTGATGAGAAGAATTTAATGACTTGCTCAAGACTACAAATTAAATTTGCAGCCAAGCTAGTATTAGACTCTGCATGGCTCTTAGCAGCACCCAGATCTTCAGACCCTGCTTCTTCTAAAACTTGTTTTGGTACTTGATTGTCTGGGGAGCGGGGTGAATTATCAATAGAGAGGAGGTAAAATTAGCAAATGTGTTTCCAGCTATGGTATTAAAAGCAAAGCTAAGCCAACTAGGGCAACTTTGGCACATAAAAAGCAATACTTGACTTCTTTCTCAGAGCAAAGGTGGTATGGGCTTGGTTAGGAATTAGGCTGCTGTATTCTCTGGCTGTGCTGCGTATTGCCACACAGTCTAGAATGAACCGATGTTCTTTATGGTCCAAGACATCTTTAGGTAGAAATGACACAAGGCAGCTCACAAACAGTAACTTATTTGCTTGGGAGGCAGCATGGCTTTTTTGTGAACACAGAGAGAAAACAGGAAAGAAGCAGGTTACTCTGATACTGCCAGCAGCTTCACGCTTCTTTCACCAGAAATCATAATGCCCATTATTTTAGCCATGTGTCCACAGCAGTGTAGTGATGCTCTTCTCTGTTGCACCATCCTGCAAATCATTTGGATTCTCTTTTAAGTTTGTTCACAACTTCGTTTGATTCTGTCCAGAACAAGAGAAGAGAGATTTTTCTCAGAGCAAAAGTAGGAATTTTCCACCCCAGAACATCTCCATTATGAGGTGGCTCAGGAGGTAGCCTGCATGAGAAGGAACTGAAAAAGTCCCAGTTTGGGTTTTGCTTTTTTTCTGGTTTTGAACAAGATGGTGAAGACTTAGCTAGTACTCCTAAGCATGTTTGTATTTTCTGGTCTTCAACCTTGGCCCTACTGTGTAGATGAAATGAGTCCTGTCACCACACAACTGAACTGCCTCCTCTTCCATTCACTTAATGACTTTTCGGGATGGGCAGCAAAGTGTTTTAAACCGCACTCCTGAGCCTGTCCCACCTCCTGCTAGTGATGAGCTGCAGTAACACTACCCTCAAAGCATGCTCAGCACCCCATCAACCTCATGGATTTCACAGCTCTTTACAGAGAAATGCTGCCTAGCCCCAGCCCTTTGAGGCAGTGGTGAGCCACATGTCACAGAATAGGAAGCTGAGGGACAGCTGTGGGAAGTGACTCGCCCACAGTCCCCCGGGGCAGGGCAGGGAAATCTGATTACAGAAAGGGTTCTCAAAAGCTCTCCAAGTGTGAGCCGCTGCCAAAATTCACAAAGGCAAAGTAGCTTAAAAGCAAAGCTCTTTATTGAAGAAGTGCCCAGATTTTTCAAGACTGAAAGAATTTGTCTCAAGGCAGGTGTGTCCATGGGGACTGGTTTTAGTAATGCTGAGGAATGTCTGTGTGTCCTGGGCTGAGTGAGTGGTGGAGTTTTTTGGTGGCAGGGGAGGGGGCTATCGGGGCGGCCCCCTGTGAGAAGCTTCTCGAAGCTCCACTTCTGTTTGGGAAATTGAGCCAATCGGCTGCGCCTCTGCGATAACGTATTTAAGAAGGGACGTGGTGACGGGCAGTCGGACTGGTGAGGAGGAGTTGCTGCAGCTGCGTGAACACCAAGGTCAGTGGAGGAACGGAGGAAGAAAGGAGGGGGGAGGTGTGCCGGAGCAGAGACCCCCTGTATCCTGTGGGGAGACGGCAGGGCGGCCCCCCCCGCCACCCATGAAGATCTACGGTGGACCAGACATTGATTTACAGCCTGTCGTTCCTGCTCGGCTGATCAAGGTTCTGTGCCCAAAGAAGGCCGGGGTCTCATGGGAAAAGGCAGCCCCGCTGCTGTAATTCAGTGCTGGGAGGATTGCAGCATGCGGGGGAGTCCCACGCCGGAGCAGCTCGGGAGGGGAAGGGCTGCAGCCGTGGGAGAGAATCCAGTCGGAGGAAGTTAGTGACCCACGACGGAGCAGTGTGGGGAACGCTGCGGCCCATGGGAGGAATTCAAGTCAGAGAAAGTTTGTGGAGGACTGTCTCCTGTGAGAGGGGGACCACGATGGAGCAGGGGGGAACAAGTTTTGGACACTCCCCTCACCGAAGATGAAGGAAGTGGCAGCACTGACTGCACCCCCCATTCCCTGCCCCTGCGCCACTGGGGGAGGAGGTAGAGATATCGGGAGCAGAGCTGAGCCCGGGAAGAAGGGAGGGGTGGGGGGAAGGTGTTCTCAAGATGTGGCAATGCTTCTCACTGTCCTACTCTGTTATGTGTTGTTAGTGTCTGTAATAAATGTATGTTCTTTTTTTTCTTCCCCTAACGAGTCTGCCTTTTGCTCATGATCATAAAAGGGGGATTTTCCCCCATCCCAGTGCTATCTTGAACCCCAAGCCTGGCTCTCTGTCCCTTCTCATTGCCGGAGGGGAAGGGAGAGAGAGGTGCTGCATTGTGGTTGGCTGTCAATCAGGCCGAAACCACAACAGTTTTTTGGCGCCCAACGTGGGGTAGAGGGTTGCGATTTGATAAGGATATTAATTGGGAGAGGTAATGAGCAAAATACAGACTGAACTCCGTTAGTGGAATGATCTCTGTAATGTCTGTAGTTGTAATTGGGGAAGTTTTTTTTTTCAGGTGTGGTGAAGGGACTATGGGTGGATGTTCTGTATTGTGTTCCTTTCAGTCTGGTTTTGCCTACTCTTTGTTCTGATGTTGATGTGTATACTGTTTTCTGTACTGAATGTTGGATCTCTTAATTCTTAAATATGTGATTCGCAGAGGCGAGGGTGGAATGTCCTGGGCTGAGTGAGTGGTGGAGTTTTTTGGTGGCAGGGGAGGGGCTATCGGGGCGGCCCCCTGTGAGAAGCTTCTCGAAGCTCCACTTCTGTTTGGGAAATTGAGCCAATCGGCTGCGCCTCTGCGATAACGTATTTAAGAAGGGACGTGGTGACGGGCAGTCGGACTGGTGAGGAGGAGTTGCTGCAGCTGCGTGAACACCAAGGTCAGTGGAGGAACGGAGGAAGAAAGGAGGGGGGAGGTGTGCCGGAGCAGAGACCCCCCTGTATCCTGTGGGGAGACGGCAGGGCGGCCCCCCCCGCCACCCATGAAGATCTACGGTGGACCAGACATTGATTTACAGCCTGTCGTTCCTGCTCGGCTGATCAAGGTTCTGTGCCCAAAGAAGGGGGGTCTCATGGGAAAAGGCAGCCCCGCTGCTGTAATTCAGTGCTGGGAGGATTGCAGCATGCGGGGGAGTCCCACGCCGGAGCAGCTCGGGAAGGGCTGCAGCCGTGGGAGAGAATCCAGTCGGAGGAAGTTAGTGACCCACGACGGAGCAGTGTGGGGAACGCTGCGGCCCATGGGAGGAATTCAAGTCAGAGAAAGTTTGTGGAGGACTGTCTCCTGTGAGAGGGGGACCACGATGGAGCAGGGGGGAACAAGTTTTGGACACTCCCCTCACCGAAGATGAAGGAAGTGGCAGCACTGACTGCACCCCCCATTCCCTGCCCCTGCGCCACTGGGGGAGGAGGTAGAGATATCGGGAGCAGAGCTGAGCCCGGGAAGAAGGGAGGGGGGGGGAAGGTGTTCTCAAGATGTGGCAATGCTTCTCACTGTCCTACTCTGTTATGTGTTGTTAGTGTCTGTAATAAATGTATGTTCTTTTTTTTCTTCCCCTAACGAGTCTGCCTTTTGCTCATGATCATAAAAGGGGGATTTTCCCCCATCCCAGTCCTATCTTGAACCCCAAGCCTGGCTCTCTGTCCCTTCTCATTGCCGGAGGGGAAGGGAGAGAGAGGTGCTGCATTGTGGTTGGCTGTCAATCAGGCCGAAACCACGACACTGTGGAAGATATTGGCAGCTTGCCATGGGCAGAAGAAAGAGAAATTCATGCCCATTATTGCACTCCCTTTTACTGTCTTCTCTTTTGTTTTGTTTTGTTTTTTTCCTTTTTTCTTTGCTCTGTGGTATCCTTCCCCTCTTCTCCTCAGAAATCCCTTTGTAATATCCCCCAGGCTCTGGCTTTCTTGACTGCACTCACCCTCACCTTGTGCCTGAACCCTCTAGTTCCATACACTCCATCCACTTCCCTTGGTGCCAGAGAGATGATCCGCAGGCAGTCCTGTGCCCACATCTGCGTCAGCTGCTACCTGCACATGCTGGAGCTGACTGGGGGGGCCTGGCCTGCAGGCTCTGGAGAGGTTGGCAGAGCAGGAATCAGCTGTGCTCATCCAGCTTGCGTCCTTTGCGCACACAGTTTGACAGCATTCACAAAGTGACTTCCAGAAAAATTTGTCGGGGACAGAGGAGCTGCCACAGAAATCAGGAAAAAATAAAAATAAAGAAGTCATCAGTGATGCTCAAGTAGCCAGCTTAGTTCTGGAAACAAAGACTGTGCTGCCTTGCCACATTACTAATGTATGGGATGTAGAAATGTGGACTGCAGCCAGGATGCAGCTCAGGTGCCATTTTTGGAAGTTCAGAAGATGGATCCAGACTTTTTATGATAGGAAGAAGGAACAGAAAAGGATAGCAAAGTATTTTGTACAACTGTTAGGAAAGAGGCAAAGGCAATACAGAAGCTGCTGGAGTCAAAGAGAGACAACGAAAATTTGTCTTTTCCCTTCCAGAAGGAGTCAGCACTGAAGGATGAGGACACAGCTGGTGGACTAAAGGCAGGTAGGATGGCAGATAAAGAGCTGTGAGCTCTCAGGAAGAGGGAGTTGAGATAAGTCCTCCCTCGTGTGACAGTCTCTTGGGGACAGTTCTGACAGAGACATGGCATGCCTGTGCATTTTCTTGGATTACTGAAGGAGAAAGCCTTGTGAAGGGCTAGGAACTGAGCAGAGCTAGAAGCAGGTGTCATGCTTGGGAAGTTCAGGAGATTGACCGCAGTTAGTCAGAATACCAGGTGCAAAATGAACCCTCACATATGCCCCAGGAATGACCCTATTCCCAATCCAGAAAATGTTCCCTCCCTGTTTCAGGCTTTACATTACCTCTTAGTCCTGGGCCTCTCCTGAATACACTTGGGTATTCACGCTTGGGTCCATTATGAACAAAGGTCATTAAACCTTGTCATGTACAATATGTCTAGCTGGAGTTTCCTTAGGCCCCCAGAGAAGGAAAAAAAGGGCCTCCATGACACTTCTCCTTGGCAATAACCCAAATATCCTCTGCCTCTGGGCTTGGTCTGTAAGGAGGGCATTTTCCAAAACCAGATCACATGTAACTTTCTATGACCTTGTAGCCTTCACTTTACTTTTATGAATGAATCTCTATTAAAAGCGGGGGGTAAATGTTTTTCCTTTGTCCCTCTTTCAGTTTACAAATTTGTCTTCTCCTATAGCCAGCTGTTAAAAGATTGGTTCTGCCCCTGCTTTCACCTTTTCTGTTTTATCAGCTGAGACGTCAAACTGAGGGCCTGACCACTTGGTGTTAAAGATCCATGGCTCTTTTTGTAAGGCAATGGCCTGGCCAACTCTAGATTCTAAATGCTGCCTTGTCTTACAGTTTGAGTTAGCCTCTCACACCCTAAATTGCAAGGCGTCATTGCCTTGAGCAATGAACAGCTTCTCTGTCCTAATTCAGGGGTGACAGCAGTTAAGCAACAGGTGAAAGAAACTGCGTACTTCTGACGTATGAGCACCGCTGAGAGGCTTAATTTTTTTAGCTCTTGCAAATTGTTTGACATCCACAGATGAAAAGGGCAGTAGAAATACTTATGATGGCTTAATATTTTGGTCCTGTTGTTATTTCTATTACCTCTGTACCTATTTATCTTCTTTTCTGCAATTTCACCTTCTTTCTCTATACCTGCCTCAAGAATAAGCAGAAATTGGCAATAAAAAAAAAAAAAAAAACTGCCTAAAACAGAGATAGCAGATGAACTGCTTCAAGGTGACACAGTAAAACTTCACTCTGCCCATGCCATGGTATGCTGATCACAGGTGTTGCCTGTGGTGACTTCCTCGTTTGTGGCAACCACTGCAGTGGCTGCAGGGACCTATCTGCTATCAGAATAATTTTTCTTGCTGAAGAAGGACAAATGAAATTATTTGTTGGGACCATGGTGAGGAGGAAGCTTGTGGGTGCTGGAGAGATGTGATGCCAACAGTATGATTAGGTTGGGCTACTCCACAGCAGGAAGAATTCACAGGGTGAGGTGTTGTTTTAGTAGTAGTGGGAATAAGGTAATGGGGTACAGTTTTGGGATACTGCTTTGCTGAAGTATGGCATATGGTTGGGTGGTTTTGGAGAGGGATGGAAAGTGACTACGCAGAGTCACCTCAAGATACATTAAAAAAAAAAAATCTACTTTTAATATTCCAGAATATTTTGACAATTTTCCCTCAGAACACAGAGCAGCTCAAACAGCTGCTCTGCAGTGACCTCTAAGGTACATTTGCTTTCAAACCTGCTGCAACCTTAGACCACCTAGAAAAGAGTTTCTCCCAAACAGATTATACAGACCTACTTTCTCTTCCAAGCAAGACTGGCTTGTGCCATTGCCAGTCTCAAAGTCATTCTCCACATAATGTGTTAGGTAGAGCATGTATGGAGAAGAGAGGCTTGTTATCTCTAGTTTGCTGGTGCATCAAAGGAAGTTGCAGATGCTCTGCATGGATCTGATCCAATACTCTTTGAAGTCAATGAAAACTGTTCTCTCGACCTCTCATTCAGTTCCCCTCTCTCAGTAGCTCCTTATGCAAATCATAGTCTATTTTGTGTGTCTCTCCAACAAAATCAACATGTTTCTCCCAAGCATATCCCTTTGTGGAACATGATAGCAAACCTTTCAAAATTCTTGGCGTTCTCTTTTTGTGATGAAGCGTGACTTGAAAGCAAATTAGCGCTATCCAAAGCAGGGGGGAAGAAGTAAGCCCTGACCCTACACACCTGTGAAAGTACCAATTACTGACAGCTACTATCACTCTGATGACAGTAGAACTGCTCACCTGGGTAACAGACGGGAGGAATAGGCCTCAGATAGGGATCTGCTGAAAATCAGACACAATGCAAGTAAATGCAGGCGTCTTGACAGCAGAAGGTTGTCAGGAAGCCAAACTGGAAAGAGCTGGCCAAGCCTAAAATGAAATAATCTGCATTTGCTTAAATAAATAAATAAATAAAACCATAGGTGAAAGTATAGAGTACAGAAATCCTTGAAAGCTCAGGACAAAACTATTCAAAAACGAGACCAAAACTGAGACCAACATTCACAGCAAAAACTAAAACTAAAAAATAGGCAGCCCTACTTGTGATGACTGGGATGCAATCCTAACGCTTTGTGCCTTTTAAGACAGTCCTTATGTATTCATTACCAGCAGTCCCCCCACTTAACAACTAAAAATCCAGGATACGGATTAAAGCTATAGCAGGTGGCAGTCTAATTGCTATCATTGCTATCAATCTTACATCTGAACCTCTCATTTGTCATATAAACTCACCAACAGCTGGTTCTCAACCCTGGTTATCCTCACGGCTATCACAACAGGTTCACAGAAAGTATGGATGTTGGGTCCTCATCTGCATGCTGCTGAGGAAAAGGGTGTAGTGTTCAGTGCTGCAGCAACAAGATGAAAGGGGTACCAGCTAAGTCCCCTCTTCATTCTCTTCACAGGAATTGTTCACGGCGGGACTCAGCGTTCATTGTCTGGTACCAGCTTCAGTCTTCGTGCTGAATCAATGTGGGCTGAAGAACATCCACTGGCCTGGTCTGCAGCCAGAAACTGCAAGCCACCGAGGCAGCAGCACAGCAAGTGGGAAGAGCTGTTATTAGCAAGAAAGCAAATTTCAACCATTTTCAGGGTTTTTTTAGTCATATTGCAGTGTTTCAGCCACTGCCATGCCTTGGCAAGCCTGTTTTGTTTGGGTTTTTTTGGGGAGACGGTTTAACATGTTTTGGTGCGCTGCGCAGTGGAAAGGAAGGGGGGGTGGCCGCGGCAGGCCGGACCACCTGTGGAGGCTCGCCGAGAGGAGCGTCTGCAGCCTGCGACCGGGGCCTCGGGGCCTTCGCGCCCGCCACGCCGCCGCCCCCAGCCCCGGGCTGGGGGAGCGGTGGCAGCGCCAGCGCCATCACAGGGCCGCGCAGCGGCAGCGCCGTTCCCCGCAGCGACACAAGATGGCGGCAGAGCCTTGAGGCCGGGCCCTCACGGCTCCCGGCCGCCTTTTCCTGTGAGGAGTCGCCGAAACGGGCAGGAGCTGGGGGGCTGACCTGAAAAAAGGTGGAATAAGCCGTTGTGTTGTAAATTTGGGGGATGTTTTTGTTCAGGCTCAACAGAAGCTTGGTCGATTTTGGCTGCTAGGTACACCACAGTTTACTTCTGAACAGGTTACACTTCAGCCCGGGAGTGCAAGGTCTAGGCACAAATTTATCTGTAGCCTTGAGAAGTCTCTGTGGCACTGGCCTCTGGAGTTAAAAGGTGGAGGTGGGCGGTACTGTATCTTCTCTGCTGCCATTTTGGTGAGAGACTGTAACATTTGACTTGAAGAGAGGCAAACCTTGGATAGAAGAGGGAGCAGAAGATGACGACTTGGAGATTAAGTGTCAAGGACACAGGGGAGTCTAGGGTTGGGGAGGGAGGGAATGAGGCACTTGCTGAAGTGAGGTGGCACGGACAAGGGCTTCCGCAGATAACTGGGATTAGAGGGAAGAGATTGGGGTTGCATAATCTCTGAGCATTCAGTAGAGTGTATAATATGGGTGTATGGCTCTAGCTGTCATGACTAACATCACACTTCAAAGCAATGGGGGTATGCTCACCAAGTAAACTGTTTGCATTTAATAACAAGAAAGAACTGGTGATGCTGTAGCCAAAAGTATGTGTATTATTGTCCCTCAACTCCTGTTCCTAAACAATTGCAGACCCCAAGAATCCAAAATATAGGGAGACAGCACCTCTGCCATTTAAAAAAAAAGGACAATCTGGTGTGTAAAATAAGAAGCAGAAGCCCTGGGAATGCGGGAGCTGAGCTGTGAAGACCTGCAGAGGATTTGCAATGAATGTTGGCATGGCATAAAGAGGGCACTGAATTCACACACATTCCCCTAAGCCTTTGTGTGCCAGTGTGCAGGGCCAGCTCTCCCTGCCCAGCTCCACAGCCATAATTAAGGGATTCCCACTCACCACGAACAGGTGCAGCCCCACCCAAACAACAAGGCTTCAGACAAAAGATTACAAATAAGGGCTAAATCCCTCCACTGTACATTGCAGTGGTGAGCAGGGACAGGTGGCCTAGGGTAATTCGGGTTCAGTCCTCATGCTGGGGAGGGAAACTGCAGCAGCTCATTTGGATCTAAACTATTATATGATAACTCCTTGTGGGCTCTGTTGATGAGGAAGCTGATGAAGGCATGGATTAAATCAAACAGCCTGTAAACTACTCTGGCAGTGGAATTACTTCTGTAGATTTCTGACAGCTTGAAAATAAAGGCACAGATGAGCAGGAAGCTGCTTTCTCCAGCTACCCTTTCTTCACCAGTACTATACGTCATTTATTCATTCAGCTATAATTGATCATAAAGTTCTTGTCCATCAGATGAGCATGAGTGTATGCATGCAGTGGATTTACAGTGCTCATGTACCTTTGGGACTCACTATGTCCAGAAGAGGTATTGAGCTTTTCTGTAACAAAAAAAGAAGCAATTGTGACCTGATGTGATGTTTGATAGTTTCTTAGTTTACTGCATTTGTTGTTGCATTAGATGTGTCCTGCCATCAGTGTCCTGTCTGTAGATCTGGAGGAGGGTCTTAACACAGCTCCAGGCTGTGGGCAGCTCAGGTGAATTTTCAGTATTACAACCTGTACTACATGATGCATCAAAACCTGCCTTAGGTGTGTGGCTCCGTTACCACAGATCAGTGTCCTCTGCAAACTTTCATGTGGTTACCCTCACAATGCCTGAGAGTGAGTGAAAGGCTGTTTTATGCACTTAATATATAGTGCTAAGTTACAAAACCCTGGATTCCTCTCAATCAACAAAACCACTCAAGCTAAGGTTGAATCAGTGCAGGTTCTCTTGGTAATTGTTAGAGAGCTATAAGCATGTAAAGAGGGCACTCCAGATTTCGGGAGGCTTTGGAATAATTAGTTTCCTATATTGGGTATCTTCTGTAGTGCTGAAAACCAGCCAGAATAAGCATGAGCCAGTCTGGGAGTGATGCACTTAGGTATTTCAAAACTTACTAGGCATTTGAACCATTTAAATGTCCTAATGCCTTGAAAAGCACGTAGCTGCCTAAGTATTAGTCCTGTAAGTTGAAGCTAACATTGTTTGGTTCCATTGCCAGTGAAACAGGAATGGCATCTTCCAAGGCCAGCAGACTGCATCTTAATCAAGTTCCTTCTTGAGGGTGGTTTGTTACACCCATCTTTTCCCCTTGGCTCTTAACGAACACCTTATACTTAGGGGTGCAGTTTAACATAGGTACAGATGCCCTATCCCATTCTAGATGCTCTTGGGTATACCACACAGATAGCCTGCTCGGGTCCAGCTGAGCTTCCAGAAAGGTGCAGGTCTCCTGTGGGTCCTGTCATACCTGCAAGCCCCAATAAATGTCTTGGATACTGTATAATACTTAACATGATACGAGATCATGTGTGTCATACTCCTGTGTGTAAGGAACTGAACCCCTCTGCTAATTAGTGTCCAGCCTTTGACTGGCTGAGGTTAGAGGCAGTGGCGATTCATACCCCAAGTGACTTGCCTAAGGACATTGATGCCAGAGGCGTGTGTTTACAAGCCCAAAAAAGAGCAAAGAGGAGGATCCTGGGAAGTATAAATCCATCAGCGTAACCATGATAATGAGAGTCAATTATTAATCAATTTGTAAGCACATAAGTGATAAGGCAGTAGAACACATCAACATGGATTAATCAAGAACACATCACTTCAAATTAATTCAGTGTCCTTATTTGAAGGACTAACTAGCCAAGTGTATAAAGAGATAGATGTGATGTATGTCGACTTTGCTAGTGTCAAAAGCATTACTCTTCTTATAAACAAAACTGTGTAATGAGATCTAAATGAAATTGGGATTAGAATGAACACGGTGTTTGAATCATACCAAAGCACTCATCTGTGGTTTACTGTCAAAACTGGATGTGCCAAGTGGGATCCTGTGGGCATTGGTTGTGGCCCCAGTGTTTTCAACAATAAATAGGCTACAAAAAGAGAGTACTTAATTCAACTCCTGAGAGCACTGACTGGGAGAGGTTGATTTGGAGAACAGTTTCAGGACTCACATTGATCTTCACAGATTGGAGAGCTTGCCTGAAATCAATAAGATGCACTGTAATAAAGACAAGTACAAAACGCAGTTTTAGGACAAAAGACAGATCAAATTTGTGGTTTGTGAAATGAGGAATAACTGATACTGATAAGACAGCAATAGTGCAGGAATGGATTGACTAGATGTTGTGAGCCATGCGCTAGATAAAGCGGGATAAAATCTGTGCAGGAAAACAAATGTTATTTGGGGATATATTAGCAGCAGTGTTTTGGGTAAAACACTGAGGTAATTATTCTGCTCTACTTGGCACTGGTGAGGCTTAGCCCAAGTACAGTGTCTGGTTTTAGACACTATGCTTGAAGGAAACCTACAGGGAAATTAGCAGTGAACAGCAAAAAAAAATGTTAAGATGTTTAAAAGGCGCACACTGAAGGGATATAGATATGCTTAGTCTTGGGAAGAGGTCATTGAGAGGAGACATGAAAACAATTCTCATCGTGGGAAAGGTTCTCATAGAGTGGAATGAACAATGTTCTCCCATGTCTACTGGAAGGAAGAGCTACCAGGCTAGGTAAAACAGTACTTTTCACGCGTGGACAACTTCCAGAAAATGCAGCATCTCCTTGTGTAGATGTTTTTCATGTCCCTGACTTGGTTAATAATTTGCCACAAAGATAAAAGCCTCAGGGCTAAATAGATGCAGAGATGTGGTTTTGCAATGCCTAAATTGTAGGTGCTGGGCAGGAAGCCCCAAGGCTCCTGGTCTGGTGAGAGGCGGGTGATTAACAAAGAATGCAACAGCAAGGAGCCAACAAATGTGAGATGTCTGACTCTGGGCTGAAGAAAAACCTGATGGCCTTTGGAAGAGGGGGTTGAGGGATCTCTACTGGAAATCTCTTCCTGGAACTGAACAACCATGGCAGGTCAGCTCTTAGTTAAAAATCATCAAGATAGTTTTAACATCATATTACAGCCAAGACTATCCAACACAACACCAACAATGTAGGATGTCTTCTTGGGAGATGCTTGTGGGCTTGGATGGTAGCTGAGGAGAGATTCTTGAGGAACGTGGAGCCCTAAGGTGCTTTTAAGCCTTTTCTTTTTATGTCTTATGTCTTGCAACTCTTCTGAGGCAGGAATCATTCATTTAAAACTCATCGCTACCAAATAATATCTAATAATTTTAATAACTTGCTGCTTGAGTTCTAAAAGCCGTTAGACAAATTCATGGAAGAGAGAGGAAAATGTATCAAGAGCTCTTAGACACACAGAAACAATCTCTGGCAAAAGAAGTCCCTGAGCTCTTACCACTGGCACAGGTGGGTAAAGCAACTGGATGGACCTATGGCATGGCCCAGGATAGTCATCTCTTTGCTCT